AGTCTCTAAGTACTTTCTCCCTACTTTTGAGGGTGAATTAGTTTATTTGCTGAGCAATAAATCACCCTCAAACTCAGCAACATAAAGTAACAAAGCTTTATCATCTCACAATTTGGGGGCCAAATGAGCTGAATGGTTTCCAACTCAGGGTCTCATGTGGGTTGCAATGGACCTGTGGCCAAGGCTGCAATCATTGGAAGAATCAGCTGGGCCCACAGGACCTGCTCCCCAGCTGACTCACACAGTTGTGGGTAAGCTGCAGCTCCTCAATAGCTGATGGCCATGGGCATCAGTTCTTCCTTGGCTGGGCCTCTCTGCAGACCTACTCACAGAAATCGGAAATCAGAGAGAGACAGACAGACAAGCAGACAGAAAAAATGCCCTCCAGGCATCAGAATGGAAATTAGCCTATTATAACTTAATCTGAGAAGTGACATGATATTACCTTACCATATGTCACCCTGCTGTGATACAGTATGGGGCTCCCCAAGGAGATAGGACTCTATGGAGGACATCGTGAAGGCCAGACCTCAAAGACAGAGACCTAGGAACAGAAATATTTCTGTACTGTAAGCAGAGCACCAGCCCAAATATGATTAAATGACAAGTGCTGCCAGTTTCCATGCTGGGATGACAGAAGGGACTGGTGGAGAATCCAATAAAGTGGGGAAGGGCAGCTGCTAATCAGTGTTGCCATGAGCAAATACAGACCATGTTACCAATCTCCAATATGGAAACCTTTCAGTGTGGAGTATTGGCTAAAGTTTTTGTTACATTTAATGTGGCCAAACAAAAGACACATGCCAGCTAGCACTTCAGCATGGTCAGTCTGCAAATTCTGCTACAAGGTCTAGGCATGAGGTGCAGTGGTAAAGAACTCAGTTTTGGAATCAGCCAGACCTGGATTATTACCCCCTGTTTGACCTTGACCAGGCCTCAGATTCCTTCACCTTGGAGCAGAAGCTAAAAACCACTGCCATTATTTTGGTGAGGATTAAGTGAGACAATATGAAAAACCCTTACCATGAGATCTGCAGCATGGTAACTGCTCCAGATGTTAACTGTTGCCGTTACTGCTATTCCAGCAGCTAGGTGAAAACTCCAACAGTAATATTCTCACCATGCTGTGGCTATTAGCTGCTTGGGCTACCAAGCTATGCCAAGGTTTTTTAGGAGTTAATCCACACACTTCAAAGACAACAATTGCTCCTGAGGCTGGCCTACAAGCACCACCTTACTTCCTTCATAATTTTATCTTGGACACGCCCTCTTAACCTCTGTGACCTGAAAAAAGAAACAATATTTTTGTGGTATGGAAAAATACAGAAGTCATGCCCTGATTTCCCTGTTTTCCATGCTCCCTTTGTGTGAAAGCCACACAGCTATTTTCAGGCTGCCAAAACCAACACCCAAAAGGAGAGTGTTTCACAAATGGAACAGCAGCAATAGAAGGAGCAGCAGAGTGACCCAGGGAGACGTGTCCCTTCTTGGGGCCCATTCCAGCCCAATGTATGAACCACCTCTGCAACGGTCCAAATACCACTTCTCATTGAATGCCTGCAATGCCAGACAACTCATTATCTCCTCCAGAGTAGCATGTCATTTTTCCCCCAGTACCAGGATTCCATTTTGATTAGACAGTTTAAGCTTTTTTTCAAAGAATACCGATTGAGCATTTACTGTATTAGGCATTGCATTAAGTGCTGGGGATATAGTGGTCAACAAGACAATTGCTATCTTTCATTTTCTGTTGCAGGATATAGAAACAAAGAAATTGGGCCGGGGATTTAGCTCAGTGGTTCCGGCGCCTGCCTTGCAAGCGCAAGGTCCCAAGTTCGATCGCCGGTACCAAAAAAAAAAAAAAAAGAAATGAAAATACAGTGTCCTTGCTTATATATTGGTTAGAGGTGGACCACGTCTTTAAAGAAAAATGAAATATAATAAAGGGACAGAGAATGACAAGGGTGTTACTCTATAAGGGCAGCCAAGGAGACTTCTCTAAGGAGAGGAACGTTGAAGTAGGCTCCTAAATGAAGGAAGAAAGTCCACAAGGCAAATATCTAGACTAAGAGGAATATCAAGCTGTACATGGTGGTATATACCTGTAATCCCTGCACTCTGGGAGGCTGGGGCAGGAGGATTGCAAGTTTGAGCCCAGCCCGGGCAACTTAGTGAGATCTTTTCTCAAAATACAATACAATTTTAAAATACAATAAAAGAGCTGGGGATATAGCTCAGTGCAAAGGCCCTGGGTTTTTGGTACTGCGAAAAAGAAGAAAGGGGGAGGAAGAGAGAGGGGGAGGAGAGAGGATCAGTGAAGACAAAGACCCTGAAGCAGGAATGAATATATATATATATATATATATATCCTTATAGCCAAAGAAGTCTGGACTGGACTCTTTCTCCCTGTCCACACAGCCGTGAACCTCAGGTTCCATCTATGTCCCTATCGGGTTCATCTTGTCACCTTTTACCCACTTCTCCAGGGAATCCAGCTACCTTTGAAATTTAAAGAGCTGTATTCTGCATAATGTAACTCACATTCTACCCACATCCCTCCACCAGTCTCTGATTTTAAAAAAAAGTCAACCTGGACAAGGCTGAAGACAAATCCTCATGCATAGCTCCAAAGGCCCCTCCCCAGCCCCCCACAATATTGCCAATCCTTGGAGCTCCCTTCCACCTCTCTTACTAGTTCCTCATGTTCTGAAGCATCCTTCTCCACAAAGAAGATGACAATGTAACTGAAGGTGAGTGACTCAGCTTTCTCTATACCATCTGTGAGCAGTGTATAGTCTGTTCTAAGCAAAAATCCTGTCAAAATCCTGTCATACAGGAATGACACCCAAGCCAAAAGAAAATCATCTGAGAGTCTCATTATATCTTCCACACCCAGACTGCTGCTACTCTGTACACATTCAGTGAACATTTATTTAAGTATCTGCATATTATAGGAGGATATGTAGGAAAAATCTAATGGGCCATGAGAGCCCGGCACCACCAGGTTAATGACTTTCTTGCAGTGTTCCAGTGTTCTGCTCCTATGTAACAGAACTTCATGAAACCTCGTTACTTAAGACAACTACAACACTTATCTCGCTCAGGAGCTGCAATCTGTACAGGAACAGCTTGTCTCTGCTCTACTCAGTGGAATGCAGACACGTAGCTTTTCCTAGTGCGTGCTTTGCTTCTGCAGACCCTGGGGACATCCTGAGAGCCTTGAAGAACTATGTGGTCCTTCATGGCCTGGCCTCGTTGTTTCTACCATATTTTATTCAGTAGAAGAAAATCACTAAGGCCAATCCATACTTAAATGGTGGAAGAACTGTCTAAGAACACCCGTGTTTTAAAGTCACTGACCATAGAATTGGAGGAGACATTTTTCTTAAGCAATGAATGCTTTGTAGAAATGGGAACTGAGCTGCACTGAGCAGGAATAAGAGACATCTTCAAGTCCACTTGAAGAACTTTGTTAGGTAATCCTGCAAGCTTGCTCTCTCCCCAAATATGTGTCTACATACCTTATCTATAAGACCTGGGTTAGTAAAGGAAAGTTGGAATTAAAGCTCACCAAGTTGGGACAAGTGACTATTTCCCATACTGGTCCAAAAGTAAACCCCAGGAAGGTTATTAACAGCTAAACAGCATTGTATTTGAAAAGGAATCAAGGGCCAGTAAAAACCTCTAAAGACCTGCTGTCTCTAGATGTCTACATATTTTCATATTCAGGGTTGGCAGACCCTTTAACAGCAAAGGGCAGACACTAGTTCGGGTCCACTCGACCCTGTTTTCTTTTTCTCCTGGGCACAGGGAGACTACATTTACCAGCTCACCTTTCATTTAGGAAAGACCATGAGAGTGAGCCCTGGCCCCAAAAAATGAGAGTATAAGTAAGCCTGGTCCATAAAATTCAAGTGGTCCTTTATCCTGCCCTCTATCCCCCCGCCCCCCCCGCCCCCGCCCCCGCTCCCGCGGGCTGCCGGGAGTGGACTTCCAGGACCCAGGAGGACAGAGAAAGGGGGGGGTGCCTGACCAGTAGAACATGGCTGCTAACGTAGAAAGTCAACTTTCATTACCTTAAGCCTCTTTGAGAACTACTTTTTATGTACATTTGTTTACCTACTCTGATTGTGAAGTTTAGTTTTCATTCAGGAAATGCTCACTCTTCCTCTCCTACCTTGAGTGGAATATTATTCCTCCACTCCTTAACACTGAAAAAAATAAAGTTTAGAACAGGGAGAAAAAAGAAAAAATGAGTGACCAGTCAACTCCCCTGGGCTGCTAAATAATGGAATTTATTATCTGAAGGGGTTGCACAGACTGAAATACAACTTTTCTATGAAAGATCTGAGTAGCTGCAAGTACTACTAGTACTACTCTGAGTACTACTCAGAGGAGCTGAGTAGTAACCTGTGGCAGGTTAGACGAACAAGAACGTCTATAGACACGCGGGCCCGACCACATTCAAAGTGAGCTCAAGGAGGGGGTCCCCAAGCTCGGAGAGTGTTCCTACAGTGCCCCGGGGGGCTGCGGGAAAGGGAGGCCACCACCTCCCTCAGACAATGCTAGTAACCTCTGCGGGAACGCTCGCCCCAGGATTATCGGCGAAGGCAGGGGACTCCTGAGGGGCGACACGGTGGGGTTGCTCCCGCGAGCTAGGGCTGCTGCAGAGCTCGTGCACGCCCGCACAACCACAACTACACACCACACACACACACACACACACACACACAAACCACACAGCACATCCCTCCCCCGCGCCTCCCACGCCCTTCCTGCGGTTGAGCAGCAGATTCCGCGAGGACAGAAAATGCAACCCCAAAAGCACACCCTGGGCTGTGCCCCGGGCGGCCCACGGCGAGCAAGCACTGGGGCAGCGGAAGGGCAGCGGAAGGGCCGCGCCCAGGCCGGCGGGGACCCCGGCGTAGGGCGGGGAGCCGGGCCGCCCGCGCAGCCCCGCCCCTCCGGAGCCGGCCCCGCCCCCGCTGCGGCGGGCGAGGGGCGGGGCGCGGCGCGGGGTATATAAGGAGAGGGGCGGGCGCCACTCTTTTGTCTCTTGCTGCAGCAACACGAGTGGGAGTACCTGGACCTCAGGCTCGGAGCAAGACCCTTCGGTGAGCGCGGTGCTGGGGCTGGGATCGGGGCTGGGGTCGGGGCTGGGGCTGGGGCCGGGACCTGGGCACGGCCGGGTGGGATGTGGTTGCTGCGGCAGACCCGCGCTCTTCACCTCGGATTCCCCAGGCCGGCCGACCACGCCCTGGGACTTCGTTGGGAGGTGCGGGACGAGCCCGGATCCGGGCCCTGGCTCGCCGGAACGCCCCGGCCGAGTGCCACGTCGCCCGGGGAGGGGGCGCCAGCCCCCGGCCCCTCGCCAACCGCCTGGCTTTGCCCACCAGGATTGTTTTAAGAAAATGGCAGACAAGCCGGACATGGGGGAAATCGCCAGCTTCGACAAGGCCAAGCTGAAGAAGACCGAGACGCAGGAGAAGAACACCCTGCCGACCAAAGAGAGTGAGTGAGCCCAGCCCGGTCTGCCGGTCCGCCCCGCCCCGCTCTGCCCTGCTCTGCTCTGCTGTGCCAGCCCTGCCCCCTCCCCGGACCCCGGGCTGGGCGGTCCCAGCCACCCTTTCCAGCTACACAAAGCGCCTTGCTCGGCCCCAGCCCCAAGCCCCTTTCTTAACCCCCCGACCTCGTGGGTCCCTCGCCCACACCAGGTTGCCGAGCGCCTGGGTGCGGGAGGGGGTGCAAAGTGGTGGCCTCGCCCTCCAGTGCCCGCTTCCCGCTCTCCGCAGCCATTGAGCAGGAAAAGCGGAGTGAGATCTCCTAAGAGCCTAAAGGATTCCTCACCCCCGTTATCTCCGAGACCCCCAGTCGTGATGTGGAGGAAGAGCCACTTGCAAGATGGACACGAGCCACAAGCTGCACTGTGAACCCAGGCACTCCGCCCCGATGCCACCGGCCCGTGGGTCTCTGAGGGGACCCCCCCCCAATCGGACTGCCAAATTCTCCGGTTTGCCCTGGGATAGTATAGAAAATTATTTGTATGATGGATGAAAATAAAACACACCTCGTGGCATGGCTGGCGTGGTCTGGGTGTCTCAGTTGAGTGTGCGTGGGTTGAGCTCTATCGCAGAGGGGAGGGAAGGAGGGGGTCGCGGAATGGGTTGGGGGTGGTATTTTTAATTTGGGTTTACCTAAATCTCCGTAACATTTCGTGAGTTCTTAGCTGACTGGCTGTTGCTCACGATGCAGTCCCCATAAAATTTTGACCCCACTTTGTCTGCTGCAAACTGTTTTGAAAATGCTTTTTCAAACGTGCTTCATAAAGCTTTCGGAGTCCCAGCCCTATCCTTCTGGCCTCATAATCCCGATTCACACCCAAAGAGAGCAGTGATTTTTAAATGTGGCCAAAAAGGGAGGATATTGGGTGAAGTCACAAATTCTCCAAAAGGTTTTCTTCTAAGTATGAGGAAAGGATGCAAAAACAAAGGCAGGATTCTAGGGAGTCAACCGCGGGAACATCAGAACTCAGGGGAACAAACCTCAGAAGTAGATGGAGACAGCCCAGCTTTGTCTCTGAACCCCAGCTACGAGCCGTTAGAGGGAGTGCTGCTGTCATCAGCAGGGAGGGTGGGAGCATGGGGGTAGAAGGGGTGGCGCTGGCCCGAGGGTCACGCCCTGTGGACCCAGAGGGAGAAGTGGGACCAGCCCACGGTGGGGTGGGGGTAAATGGAGGAGGAGCTGGGGCCGCTGGGCGGTAGAAGAGTGGGGTATTCTTTAAGGAGGAAGGAGGTAGTTTGCCCCACATTTTTGCCTGACCCCAAGGGACTGGACAATGGGTGACAGCAGTTAATTCAACTCTGGTGAGGTCATTGTGCGTAAGATTTGAAATTTATTGAGTGAGAAAGCTACTGCAGACCAGAGTGGGGACCCCTGGGCTGAGGGAGCCACTGCCTGTTTTGCATAAAACTGACTTGATGGGGAGACCTGTGCCAGAGAAGTCCTCCCCGCCTCTCCCCACTGGTACCCAGATATCACCCTCCCATCTACCCTGAACGAAGAAGGATTCTTGTTCATGATAACTGGTGACACCCACTGTGGCCAGGGCATGAGCCACTCCGGAAATGCCCACTGCATTCTAACTGAAATGTCACCTAGCCTCACCTGCTGCATTCCAGCCCTGTGAAAGCTGAGTCCCCACCAGGACTCCCTCCCCCAACTGTCTCCTTGATTCTTTTGTGCGTAGTTGGGGCCCAAGCATGGGGAACTTGTGAATATTACTGTGGCTCAGGGAAGCCAAACACTTCCCTCCCTGAGCCCAGTTCAGGATGCAATCTTACTACAGTGAGGGGAAGGAAGTACTATTAATTCACTGTTGAGGCTACTGATGGAAAGCTGAGTGTTACCCACACAACAAACGTGTTGGCTTTGTTTCAGTATAACAAAATAACCTGAGATCATTAATTTACTAAGATAAGTTGTTTCGGTTCATAGTTTTAGAAGTCCCGATACATGGTCCATTGTCCTTGCTGTGTGGCCATATATCATGGTGGGAGTATGGGGAACAGAACTGCTCACCTTACCTAGTGACCAGGAAGCAAAAACCAGAAAGAGATGGGAGAGGTCCCCAAAATCCACTTCAAGGGTGCACCCTCAATGACAGAGACTTTCTACTAGGCCCTACCTCTTAAAGTTTTCACCACCTTCCAATGGTGCTGCCCTGGGTAACGAGCCTTTAACTCGGAGGACTTTGGGGACATTTCTGATCCAAACTATAGAAACTAAAGCACTCAACCAGTTAATTTCCTGATTTCTGTGAAGTGTTGAGGCTGTGTTTCTCATTCAGTTTAGTTCAACATGCATTTCTTGAGGACTGGTGAGTACCTATGACTGTACAAAGTCCCTGGAGGGCATAAAAGATGTGCCAACTAGCTACACAAAAGGCAGAATGGAGAGAATGCTAGAGACAGAAGTAAAGCACCATGGAGAGGTAGATAAAGGAGAAGTTGACCTGTGACAAGAAACGTGAATAAAGACCAGGGGAAGTGAGAATGGGAGCAGGGCTTTCTCAATAGAGGAAGATCATCGCGTGGTGACAGCGGAGCCTGTTCAGTGAAGGGGAAAGGACGTGGATCAGTGAACACAGAGGCAGCCTCAAAATTAGCCTAGGAAAGCAAGTTGGGTGTGTTTTATCCTGCAGACAATTTGGAGCCACTGCAGATTTGGGAGATCTGCACAGTGATCCAAGACGTATGTGAGTGGATGTGGAGTGGATAGGGCAGACACAGATAGCTAACCAACCACTGTCGCCACCAGGATCACCACAGCCATTAACATCACTGCCACCATCACCAAGACCACCACCATCTACATCATCACCATTACTGCTGGCACCACTACCTCCACCATCATCTTTACCACCTTCACCACCACAACAACTGTCACCCTTCCACTGCTACCACCAACAGGGGCAGCGACACTCCCCATTCCCTTTGTGTCTATGAAGGATGGCCAAGGGAAGACCAATTGTATTCAGATAGAAAGCCCACGGGCTGGGGATTTAGCTCAGTGGTTTCACCACCTGCTGTGCAAGCGCAAGGACCCGAGTTCGATCCCCAGTACGAAAAAAATAAAGCCCAGCCCAGGGAGTGAGGCTGGATTAGTATAAACTTATGGCACTCAGAGGTTCAGTATTACAATGATTTGTGAGGAATTTTGTGGTTTTTGCATGATGATTCGTGGACAATATCGAGATAGGAGACAGGGATCAGGAATGACCAACATCCTACAATGCATAGGACAATCCCACACATCAAAGATTTGTCCTGTGCCCTGCATGACTTTTTAAACTCTCTACTATGGTATAACATACGTTTGGAATAATGCACCCAAGCATACAGTTTGATGAGTCTTCACAACCTGAACACAACCCTAGTGCTTTCTTCCTGTCACACACCTATACATATTCTAACAGCATCATATATGTATAAAACAATTAATTTTGCCCAATTTTATTATAGACTTCATTTTCCATGAATGTAAATTATCATGTAAATTGAGGAATGCTTTTTTTTTTTAAACTCGCAACTTCACTAAGAGTTGATCACCAGTGCAGAAAATCATGGCACTAATAGCGATGTCTCTCTTGGTTTCTAAATTGTTTCATACAGAACAATTGTATGGATATTTATCAGAAGCTGCTGGATGAGGGTAACACTACATATAGGTGAAAAAAGACATAATGTGCAGTCTACGTTTTCATATGCCAGAATATCTTCTATTGTGTTAATCAAATTTTGATTGGTTATGTTGCAGTAACAAATAACCCCTCAATGCCTCACAAAAGTAATGTTTATCTAGTTCACATTACACATCAGTTGCTGGTCTGCTTTAGTCCCATAGGCCTTTTTCATTTGCAAGCCAGGCTAAAGGAACAGCCCCTCTCAGACATGCTGTTGCTATGCAAAGGGAAAGAGGAATAAACCTTGAAAGAGGAATAAACGCACCCTGTAATCCCAGCATTCTCGGAGGCTAGCAAGTTTGATCCCAGGATCAATTTAGTGACTTACAAGACCCTGTCTCAAAATAAAAGATAAAAAGTGGTCGGCAATGTAGCTCAGAAGGAAGGCTCTAAATTCAGTCTCCAATCACACATACACACACACACACACACACACACACACACAAAGAGAAATAATAGTTATTTGGTCGCTTTTCAGACTTCTCAGATGTGGCACTACCATTCATATTACATTGGCCAAAGCAAATCATAAAGCAAGCCTGACATCAATTGTGTGAGGCACTGTAAGTCACAGCCAGCAGGCTGGGATGTATGATTCTGTTATAGAGAAAGCAGGAAATAATTGGGACCCATGATACAGTTTATCATGTCTATTAAAATCCATACATATATAATTTCTATAAATTGTCTTTATTTCACTTTTATTTTCTACTTAGGGCTTACATTGATTTGTTTTTAAAATATGCATATGGTTAGGTTATAGTATCTTTTATTTCAAAAAAGAAGAGAGTTATGAAATATTTGAAGCATAGGAGCCATTGGTTCTAAAGTGTAGGGAACCAGCAGTCTGACCTAGTAATGGTAATTCCATTTCCTTTGTCAGCAATTGTCTTAAGAACAGGTGCACGTTGCAATTTTAGCAAAGGAGACACAAAATGAAGCCATTTAAGGGCTTCTTGGAAGATTGACCATAATAAAAACAGATGTTACGGTGGAAGGGTGTGGCATTTGAACCATGATGGCCATCTTGAAGCTATCAAGGGAAAGAAATACTAACAGGTGGGCAACTTTGGAATTTGGAAAGAACTAGGAACTTGGTGAGCCCCGAGCTGCTGAGTTTTCCTGAACATGCCTTATCTTTGAACGTTTTGTCATGTGAAATAATAATTTTCCCTTATATTTAAGAGCTCTCTGGTTGGGTTTTCTGTTACTTATAGCCCAAAGTATTCTAATAAGGATCAGCTGGAATGAGAAGTAGAGAAAAATAGTTAGTTGGGTACTGTAATAGCCCAAGCAAGAGGTAATGAGGACTTCAATTAGGGAACCCTGCAGATGGTGGGACCCTGTAAGTATCTGACCATCAGCTTATTTCAGGGGAGAGAAGGGGAGGAGCTGATCTGTGGCATTTGCTGATTTCTGTGGTGTAAACATTGCCCATTTTAAGCACCTGCAGTATAGTAAGCTACTTGCCCACTTTCTGAAAATTAATTTTTGGCTATCTGCAAGCTTGTTCCACTGGCTCCAGCACAAAAGAGACTTAGGGATAAAAAAGCAAGGAAGCTGTAAAAGATCATGCAGAGAGAAAATTGGCCAGACTCTGGATTACGGGCAATTGCAGAATTTATAATCTAACAGACAGACAGAAACTTTTATTTGATATGTGACTTCATTTCTTAGCTTCAATGTCCAGAGGGAAAGCATCTCATAACCAAGGCATTTCCCAAAAAGCACATAGGGAGACCCAGTACTGCTCAGGAGAGAGAAAGTTTATAGGATCTCGAGTACGTATCATAAATTCACTTTATGGCCAAACAATGTCCAGAGAGATAGTAAAATGAG